TAATGCTTGGCACATTAGCTTCAAGCCTCAAGACTGCATTAGGGGTGCATTTTGGGGTACCGAACAGAGTCCTAAGAAAATTAGATTGAATTGTTTCATAAGCCCTTAAGTTTGTATATGGTCCAAGTTGTATCCCATATAATAGTTGGACAACCATAAACAGTTTAATTGCTGCTGGGATGTAATTTGTGCCCTGTTGCCTATAAAATTTGGTTATTGCTTGTGTGCTCTTTTGGGCTGTGGAAGTGTCATAATTTACCTGGGCTGGTAATTTTTTCAGTTTTTATTGTAATTCAGGAGCAGTGTTATAGATTTTAGCTTGTGATACATCACCCCTTCAATTTTCTCTACTGATAGTATTTTTTTCTACATGTATCCAGGTTGGAAGAAATTGTTTGGAAAAGCAAATAAATGGAGTCAGGATCAGTAGAGTTCCCAACTGATGAGCTATAGAAGACTTCATAATTGATTGTATTTTATTGTTTTATTGTCTCAGTAAGATTTAATGACATACGCTGTTTTTTATTCAATTGTTTTTCTTCATTTTGGATGCCATCCAGTGTCACATGGTCTGAGTTGGGTGACCATATAAATTCTTAAATAAACAAATACTTATAAAACACAGTAAATGTGGACCAATATTCATGAATCATTTGAACTGGAAGTTGTGTTCATTCTTCAATATTTTCCATATCCTTTATTCATCCTGCCTACTCTTTTTCCTGTTTCCACCCACATCTCTACCATTTAATAGCTTTATTTTTAATGCTAGCTCATTCTAAGTTGAATATTTTTCAATCCTATTGGCATAAAAATGGGAAATAGGCTGTAAAGACAATATTGCAATATATTTATTATTAACGGTAACAATATACCTATTTCATCAGAACATAGTACAATATACTGAACTAAGACAACTTTTATAAAAGCCAATCTTATAGCATTTTTTCTCAAATGTGGTAGATTTTATGATTAAATTATATAATTATTTGCTTTGGAAAGCAAAGCTTATCCAATATATTATACTAAATATAGCATGTATACACTTGTCATTAACTGCCCTCTCAAAGACAAGTTACATTGATACTTTATAGATTTTCAAATCTTGCTATTGACTTGGAGTTTGAGTCAAATCAAGAATTCTCTAATTAGGTCTGAATCAAAACTATGTGTTATCTACTGCATCGCTTTTTCAGAAGATACACAAACCTAGGTTATACATGCTTCCTTCATTAACTTAATATCAAAATGGAACCTAAATGAAATGGGATAAGATATTGCCCACATAATTCATGTGCATGATCCTTGATTTCAGTTATTTGGGAAATGTCTGCTAAATTATCAGGTCTATCATTAGAAATAGTGCATATTCTGCAGAAATATTGACTTCAATTTTTTAAAAAAATCAAATAAAGCAGGCTGTATATATAATATTAAGAATAAAGTGTATTTATTACATCTTTTCAGAAAATTAACATATAATTTTTCACTGACACAAAGGGGAAAAAAATACCTTGCAAAAATCTATGGGGAAAACCCATACTTTAAAAACCTTCCTTGGACACATTAACATAACACATTTATACATCTATTCTGTATATGTGCACACAATCTTTGTATGTGTGTATGTATATCTGCACACACACACCTAAAAAGTAACAAATTTTATTATATATATATATACACACACACACACACATATATATATATATATTCAATTTATAGACTGCTAACTGAAATGACTCAAGGCAGTGTACAATGGATTAAAAGCATTATTAAACAAAACAATATAAGATCAAATACAACAATAACAGTACATTGGAGAATATACAAATATTTAAATAGCAGCCATTCAAGCAGTTCACCAATTGCCATGATCCAGGGCCTGCTGGAAAAGCCAGGTTTTTGATGTTTTCCTGAAAGTCAACAGGGTCGGGGCTAAGTGGACCTCAGGAGGAATGCTATTCCAGAGAGCAGGAGTAGTGACCAATAAGGTCCCTAAAACAGAAAGCTCAAAAAATGTTCTGACCACAAAAGCCAGCTCCAGTATGTGACCATCAGTACATATTGGCTCCTTGATGACATAGGCCAGGCTCATGGTAGTCATGGTGGCCATGAACTTTTGAGTTGCTTTTTAGCCATTTCAGATTCCACACGGAGCAAATGCAGATGGAAGTTTCCCAGTACATGAGTCTGGGAAACTGCACTGCAAATCCTGCCATGGGAAGCTGTCACACAGCTCAGGCAGGGGGGCTAGTACAGTAATAACAATCCCAACTGATCCCTAGAACCCAGCTTCATAAACAGAGTCTCACATCCAAAACATCTGGAAACCATCAGTCTCCTGCATGACAGAGCTACTCCACTCTACCGCATCCTCTGGCCTTGCCATCATGATTTATTTATTTATATCTATTACAGATTTAAATAACAAATTAATTTAAAGTGAGATTCCTACAATATAGCTAAACTAAATTCATTAGTTCTGACACATTTGGAATATGGATAAATAATCAGAACTTCATAGAAATACAAGTGCTGTTTACATAATCATTAGGTTTGCACAGGAATATATATGAACACACTGATGAATCTGATTCACCCATATATAAAGATAAAATATTTTTTGTTATTTTTCAAGCAATAAAATGAAGGTAATTTAAAGGTTTTGTTTGATGACTACTGACATGTGAAATGTTTTAGTTACGGAGAAACAGTAGAAAAGATATTGTTTTGCAGAACTGCACCATCATTAATTTGGGGATTCCACCCAGATGCAATCTTAAACAGAATTATACACCAGGTTTTTCTTGTTCTTGCCACTATAAGCTTGGAAGGAGAATATATGAAATGCTCCCAAGTTTAGAAACCTGTACCATGGCAACGTGATCACTTTCAGTGCTCTGTCACAAGTGATGTTATCCAAAAGGGCAGGACTTCTGGAAAGGCTACATAATAAAGGACCAGATTTTTAAAAATCCTAATGTGTTTTGAAAGTTATCAATGTTTACAGATCAAAGTGTGCTGGCAATTATACAATTTACTTCAACATCTATCTACTTTAATTTTCCTTGGATACCTGTTTTCAAAGGAATGAGATCCCCTTGCTGCTTTTTAATTTGTACAATGGCCCCTTTCCATATATACTGGACAGATATGAATATTGATAGAACTGTGCTTCCTAAATAAATCAGATCAGGGACAAAAAATTTGCCATAATTCTGGCACTTAAAATAGGGCATCTAAATTTTTCTATGAAACTCCATCCATCCCTAACTTAAAACATATGCAGTATTTAAACCAATAATATACATAAAAGGTGTGACAACATATTATGCATAATATGATCAGCTTTAGAGTAGAAATTGGAATATATTTCCATAAACCTAACATTAAACAACCTAGATTTCTTCCATGTAGAAAATGCATATGCTGCATCAGATGACAGCAAATGTATAGTAAAAGGCTAACTAACAGTGCAGTGAAGCTGTCTACTAGAATAACTGCAATATATCACAATAGCAGATTGGACAGAAAACGGATTAGTATACTGCAAATTGTCAAATAAAATTTGTAAGTTCTCTGGGTTTATGATTCTTGCTATCAATTAGAATTTATTTTCTTGCAGAAACAGTTTTGAGTATGCAACCATAAAGATCATGGTGATTAGTCACTAAAGATGGAGATGAAAAGCACATCTGTGAAATATTAGTTATTTTATGATTAGCAAGCATTCACGTGGATTATTTATGTGCATAACTATGAAAGGAAGACAAAAGATCTTGAAGTACACATACCCACAGCAGAAATACTATATCAAAAGCAAATTAAACAAAAAGCAGCAAAAGCAGGAAGGCTTGATGAAAGTATTACTGGTCATGACAGGAACTGGAGACAGAATTGTAGCAATAGTAGTCATATCTAATCACTACCAGACTAGATAAATGGCAGGACAGGGTTCCCCTCTGTTCTTCTCTTGCGTTTCACCTGGCTCAGTTAGCATCATGTGTTATTTCCTTGAAGGCATGCAAGAAAAGTTTGAAAAGTAAGGTGCTGCAGTCTAATAACATCTGGCAACTCAGAAACATACTTTCATTGGTGAACTCCAGAAATCAAAATGAATTTGATAGTCTGAAACATTTTCTTCTTCCTCATAAGCCACTAGAATCACTTCTGTTTTGCTGCAACCTACTGTGATAGGAATCTGCGTGAGGTCTCAAAGGATGGAGTAATACTTGAGCTGATTCTTTCTCATAAATAATACATCAAAGCATTAGATTCTATTTATTTTAATGACGCCTTGGCTAATCTTATTTACTTACCTTTCAATTGGATATTTATTATTTACTGCTTCCAAGAATGATGCTATTTTGCAGCTATTATATATTATAATACTTTAATAGTATACTGTGGCCATGAAAATAGATTTACCAGCCTATGTACTCTTGGTGTTTCCCAAAAACAATAAGCTTCCATTTGAAAAAGGACATCCTTGTTTTTATTTCCAACATTCAGAGTATTAAAAAAAAAAAATCCCACTTCAAAATTGCCATTTCAATTAGTCTAAATGTTTGGACTGTCTGATACATCATGACTGTCTTTAAGAAAAAGAAATCCCCCTAGCCATGGAAACTTGAAGTACATCAGCAATTAAAATTGAATAATTTTAATTTAAAGCAATTAAAATAGGCACAGA